ACACAGTGAATGAACATGACAGGTGTGTTAGAAAAAGACTTTGATCCTTATGGGTTAAGGGACTGTTTAGAGAATGCGTTAGCGCTTCTGACAGATTCCTTACATCCATATGATAAACAGGCAGAGAGCATGAACCCAAAAGAGTTATTGGACAATCTGAAGGAGGTTGCAGAAAGTGTGACCTCTACAGAAATTACAAAGTCAAGTTATGAAAAGCTGGCTAAAATTGCAATTTTGCTGAAAGAATCATTCTATACGGTTGTTGAGAAAGCTGATTACCTTACACTAAGGTTAGACAGTGAAAAAGCGTTTGCTCAGGAAATTGAAGATCACTACCTTCAATTTAGAAGCGAACACGAGGTCCTCATGACGAAACATTATGAACAGATGTTTCAGTTAGAGCAAGATGCGCGTGCAGAAGTTGATTCAATGAACAGCAAAATACAATTACTTGAGGCGTCACTATCTGAAGCCAGGGATGCTACAGATGTGCTTAAGAAAGATCTGCACAGACTCGAAGTGCATAAACAGATATTACTGGAAAAAGTTGTGCGTTCACGACATGAATGTCGGTCATCGCAGGAACGCCTGAAGGCTTGTGAGGAGGAACTGGCCGCAGCAACAAACAAGATTTCTGACGTGGGGCGAGTTTGTCTGGAACTCAGAGAAGACCGTGGACAGAGTTCAGGTCACCCACAAACACCTCGGAAAGACGTTGTTGCACATCCTGCTCTTAATCCACCCTCATCTCGAGTGGTAGGAACAGACCTGAACAGGCCTCCTCCACCAAACATGCAACAGAGTGCATGGCAACTTCCTCTTTCAATGGATGTTCTGCTAAAACTCTCAAAATATGTACAACGCTTTGTACCTGGACCGATGGGTTCAACTGGAACACAAGCTTACCTGAAAGATCTCGAATTCAGATTGAAGGATTATCCTAATGCTACGGTTGAGGATAAGATCAGTCTGATACGGCTCACTTAGGACAGAGAGGTATTCACCTTCATCGAGCGTCTACCTGATGCAACGA